ATGAGATAGCTTCTCACACCAGTCAGAATGGCTATTATTCAAAAGTAAAAATAGAGGCCAGTTGCAGTGGCTCATGCCTATAAATAATCGTAGCACTTTGGGAAGCCGAGGCAGGTGGATCGCCTGAGGTCAGGAGTTCAAGACTAGTTTGGCCAACATGGCAAAACCACATCTCTACAAAAAGTACAAAATATAGCCAGGCATGGTGGCAGGTACCTGTAGTCCCAGCTACATGGGAGGCCGAGGCAGGAGAATTACTTGAACTTAGGCAGCAAAGGTTGCAGTGAGCCGAGATTGCACCACTGCAATCCAGCCTGGGGGACAGAGTGAGATTCCATCTCAAAGAAAAAAGTAAAAATAGAATATGTTGGCAGGGCTGCAGAGAAAAAGAACACTTATACACTGTTGGTGGGAATGTAAATTAGTTCAGCCACTGGGGAAAGCATTTTGGACATTTCTCAAAGAACAAAAGATAGAACTACCATTCAACTCAGCAATTTCATTACTGGGTATATGTCCACAGGAAAATAAACCATTTTACTAAAAACATATGCACTCATATGTTCCTTGCAGCACTATTCATGATAGCAAAGACATGGAATCAACCTATGTACCCATCAATGGTGAACTGAATAAAAATAATGTGGTACATATACACCATGGAATACTTCACTGCCATAAAAATGAAGAAAATCATTTCCTTTGCAGTAACATGGATGCAGCTAGAGGTCATTATCCTAAGTGGATTAATGTAGGAACAGAAAATCAAATATCACATGTTCTCATTTCTAAGAGGAAGATAAGCATTGAGTACACATGGACATAAATATGAGAACGAAAGTCACTGGGGCTACAAGAGGGGGTAGGGAGTAGGGAGGCAATGATTAAAACACTACCTATTGAATACCATGATCGCTATCTGGGTGATGCATTGAATTATACCCCAAACTTCAGCAGCACACAATATTCACTTGTAACAATTCTGCATGTGTATCCCCTGAATCTAAAATAAAAGTTGAACTTAAAAACAGACACAAATAATTTGATACAAAAGATCAATGAACTGTGAAATTGGTTTTTAAAACAGATAAATAAATGTAATTAATCCTTAGCTAGACTAAGAACAGAAGACAGAAGACTCAAGTAAATAAAATCAGAAATGAAAAAGGAGATATGATAACTGAGATCTCAGAAATACAAAGGATTGTTAGAAACTATTATGAACAACTATACACCAAAAAATTGGAAACCTAGAAGAAACGGATAAATTCTTGTAAACACACAACTTATGAAGATTGAACCATGAAGTAAAAGAAAACCTGAAGAGATCAATAATGAGGAATGAAATCAAAGCAGTAATCTTCTTCCATCAAAGAAAAGCCCAGAGCTAGGTGGATTAATTACTGACTTCTACCAAACTGTTTTTTTCTTTTTTTTGAGATGGAGTCTTACTCTGTCACCAGGCTGGAGTGCAGTGGTACAATTTTGGCTCACTACAACTTCCACCTCCTGGGTTCAAGCAATTCTCCTGCCTCAGCCTCCCAAGTGCCTAGGATTACAGGCATGTGCCACCGTGGCCGGCTAATTTTTATAATTTTAGTAGAGACAGGGTTTCACCATATTGGTCAGGCTGGTCTCAAACTCCTGACCTCATGAGCCACTCACCTCAGCCTCTCAAAGTGCTGGGATTACAGGCATGAGCCACCGTGGCTGACCTCTACCAAACTTTTAAGGAAGAACTAATGCCAATTTTACTGAAACTATTTCAAAAGATCGAAGGGAGGGAATTCTTCCAAACTCATCCTGTAAGGCCTGTATTACTTAAACTAGATAAGTACACACACACACACACACACACACACACACACACACACACACACACACAGACAGACACACACACATATATACATATATCTATAAGCTAATACTCCTGATAAACATGTATGTAAAAACCCTCAACAAAACATAATTCAATAAGACGTTAAAAAGAACATTCAACATAATCAAGTGGGCTTTACCCCAAAGATGCAAAGATGGTTCAACATACGAAAATCAACAAATGTGATAAAGGACAAAAAACATATGATCATTTTGATACATGCTGAAAAAGTATTTGGTGAAATGTAACATACCCTCATGGTAAAAACTCCTAACGAATTGGATATAGAAAGAAAATACCTCAATATGATAAAAGCTCTACATTACAAACCTACATGAAATATCACACTGAAAGGGGGGAAATTGAAAGCCTAAGACAGGAACAATACAAGGATGCTCACTTTCACCACTTTTATTCAACCTAGCTCTGGAAGTCGTAGCCTGAGTAATTAGGCAAGAAAAAGAAACAAAGTGCATCAAAATTGTAAAAGAAGAAGTGAAATTATCTTTGCAGATGACATAATCTTACTTTTAGAAAAACCTAAAGACTCCACCAAAGTTCTTGGAAATGATAAATGAATTCAATAAAGTTGCTATACACTAACAGAAATCAATCTGAAAAGCAATCAAGAAAACAATGCTATTTATAATAGCTCAAAAATACCTAAGAATAAATTTAATTTAACCAAAGAAGTGAAATAATCTGTTCAAAGAAAACCGCAAACCATTGATGAAAGAAATTGAAGACACACAAAAAATGGAAAGATATACCATTCTCATCCATTGGAAAAATTGATACTGTTAAAATCTCCACACTACCCAAAACGATCTAAATAATTATTATTGTAATCCCTATCAAATTACTAATGACATTCTTCACAGAAACAGAAAAAAATCCTAGAATTTGTAGGGAACAAGAAAAGGCCCTAAATAGCTAAAGCAGTCCTGAACAAAAAGAACAAAGCTGGAGGCATCACATTACCTGATTTCAAATTATGCTACAAAGCTATAGTAACCCAGATAACATGATACTGGCCTAGATACAGATGCATACATCAATTGAACAAAATAAGAGAACCCAGAAATAAATCCATGCACTTGCAGGCAATTCATTTTTGACAAAGGCACCAAGAACATGTAATGGGGAAAAGGACAGTTTCTTTAATAAATGATGCTGGGAAAATGGGATATCCATATGAAGAAAAATGAAATTAAATTTTTGTCTTTCATCATGTTCAAAAATCAACTGAAAATAGATTAAAGACTTATCTATATGACCAAAAGCTATGACACTACTAGAAGAAAATGTTGGGGAACACTACAGGACTTTGGTCTGAGCAAAGATTTTTTTGGGGTAAGACCCTCGAAAGCACATGCAACAAAAGCAAAAACAGACAAATTTACATCAAGCTGAAAAGTTTCTGTAGAGGAAGGAAACAATCAACAAATTAAGTGACAACCAATAGGATGGGAGAAAATATTTGCAAACTATACATCTGGCAAGGAAATAACAACCAGAATATATAATGAGCTCAAACATCTCAATAGTAAAACCCCTCAAATAAATCAATTAAAAAAAGGACCAAATACCTTAATAGACATTTCTCAAAACAAGGCATACAAATGACCAACAGATAAATGAAAAAAATGTTCAACACCTTTAGTCATTAGGGAAATGCAAATCAAAACCACATTGAGGTTATACCTTATCTAAGTTAAAATGGCTATTATCTCAAAAACAAAAAATAAAAAAATGCTGGGAAGGATCAGAGAAAGGGAAATGGTCCCACACTGTTGGTGGAAATGCAAAGTAATATAGCAATTAGAAGAAAGAGTATGGAGAGTCCTCAAAATACTAAAATAGAACTACCATATAATCTAGCAGTCCCACTGCTGGGCATATTTTCAAAAGAAAAGAAATCAGTATGTAAAGTGATAGCTGCATTCCCGTTGTGTGTGTGTGTGTGTGTGTGTGTGTGTGTGTGTGTAAGTGATCTCAATAGTTACCTAAGTGTTCACCATTGGATGAATGGATAAAGAAAATGTAGGGTATATACACAATGGAATATTATGCAGCCATAAAAAGAAATGATACTACTATTTGCAGGAACATAGATGGAACTGAAGGTCATTATTTTAAGTGAAATAAGTCAGATGTAGAAAAACATCCTAAGTCCTAGCTCATATGGGGAGCTAAAAAAGTTGATCTCATGGAGTTAGGAGAATGGTGATCACTAGAGGTTGGGAATAGAAGGAAGTGGGGAGGGGGCAAAAAGAGAAGTTGGTTAATGAATATAAAAATACAGTTAAATGGAAGAAATAAGTTCTAGTATTTGACGGTACTGTAGTGATATAGTTTGGATGCTTGCCCCCTCCAAATCGCATGTCAAAATGTTGTCCCCAGTGTTGGAAGTGAGGCCTGCTGGGAGGTGTTTGGATCATGGGGAATGGATTCCTCATGAATGGCTTAGAGCCATCCTCTTGCTGGTGAGTGAGCTCTCATGAGATCTGGTTGCTTAAAAGCATGTGGCAGCTCACCCCTGTGCCTCTTGCTTTTGCTTTCACCATGTGACATGCTGGTTCCCTGTTGCCTTCCACAATGATTAAAAGCTTCCTGAGGCCCTTATCAGAAGCAGATGCCAGAACCACACTTCTTATACAGCCTGCAGAACTGTGAGCCTATTAAACTTCTTTTCTCTGTAAATTACCCAGTCTCAGATATTTCTTTATAGCAGTGCAAAAATGGCCTTATACAAGTAGGGAGATTATAGTTAATAATATATTGTATATTTCAACATAGCCAGAGGAGAAAATTGTAATGTTTCTAATACAAAGAAAAGATGAATGTTTGAGGTGATGGGCATCCCAGTTACCCTGATTCGATAATTATGCATTGTATACATGTATCAAAATTTCACATGTACCCCACAAATATGTATAATGATTATATATCAAGAAAAAATAAAAACCAAAACAAACAAAAACTACAAGATCTCACTTGGGAAGGTGACATGCCTATTATCAAGTCATCCCAGAACATAGGTCATGAAGCAACATGGTGATATTCTATCAGAATTGTCAAAATTATGTAGATATAGTGTGAAGAGAGTCTTGTGGCTTACCTTAAAAGAGATTTCATACTGTTCTCCTCCCCAGATTTCTAAACCTGGATCATAGCCACCCAATTCCCAAAACCATTTCCGATCCACAGCAAAGAGACCTCCAGCCATAACAGGAGACCTGTGAAATGAACAAAATAATCTTTAAAGGACTATGAACATGAAAGACAATAGCATTTTGCTTGGGAAAAAGTAAAATTCAAGTTATGTTTTAGTGGTCAGCTGTGTGGAGCTTTTCAGCACTGGTTTTCTGTAAGTGGATATAGGGTTCTCATTGGGTCTCTCACTGAAATGGAAGTGGGTGGGGAGGGAGAAAGAATCCCTGTGAGCATTAAACATTTGCAGTTCAGGTCTTAATGCAACAATTGCCCTGCAGAGCCACATTTGCTCCATTTGTTTATCATTAGCGAGAAATATTAATACATGAGTAGTAATAACCCAGAAAGTAAAAAATATCACTCAATTTTATGGTTTTTCCTTAAACTGAAAGGAGTCTTATACTATCAGACAGATAAAAGCATTGAAAATGCTTTTGTAGACAGTATCTTTGAGTAATATTTCAGTACGCATTCACCAAGCAACTACTATGAACAGGTCATGTCCAATTTATAAACTACAAATCAGCTGGTTAGAATAAAATAAGCAACCAGAATTCGTTGTTCAATGTGTCAAAGCTGGAATTTAAACTAAGTCTTTTCTTTTTATACTATTCGTTTTAGGCCTTCTCTGCCTAAGAAATATTACTTTTGGTTAAATAATAATTTTCAAGTATTCCACTCCTGTGAGGATGACTTTCAGTCATGATATTGTGTAATAAGATAATTATAACCATTTGGTGGGCACTGCCCTAAATATTTTTACAGTTCAAAAGTGCTCTTGTTTATTTATTTTTTTTTTGACTGCTTACTATGTGCTGGGCTAAAGGATAAAATCTATACCTAATTACCTTGATCAATCCTCACAACAATCCTATGAATAAGATCCCTATGCATGGTTTGAGGAATCATGCAGAAGAGGTGGAATGCTGCCCAAGGCTAAGGCTAGTGTGTGGTGAGGCTGGGCTCGGGCTCTTCACCACAACACTGTTTCTGTTTCAGTGTTTGGAGGTGAAGAGACATACTTACATACCAACAGACATAAAACAGAGAACACCTCTACGCAGATCGAGCAAATCGATCAAAACACATAACTGATTTGACAGTTTTGAAATTTTTTTTTTTAAAACGAAGGATGTTTATAAATAAAAGTACCAAATTTTACATGTTGATATACATGAAAAGATCTGCATAACCATAGTAGACACCAATTTATTGATCAGCTGAGAACTTAGTCTTGGTAATGCTTTACAAGGCACTTGGGGAACATAACCTGAATCTGTCTAAGTGTATTATATATTTCAAAGACTTTGCAGGCTAAGATGGTACTTGATTTAATTATTTCAGTCTAGGAATTTTTTTTGAAGGTGTAGGCTTTATGTAGATGAAGAGATTACAAGGCTGGAAGAGAGATTTAGGCTTTTCCGCAGGAAAGTGAGCAGAATTCAGAAAATAATATAAAGAAGCTCTCTCATGTAATTTTTTTTCTTTTAATAAAACTTCTAGAATCAGATGTGCCTTACTTTATCCCTCTCTCTAGCAGCCTAAACTTTTCCCATTTTTTTACCCACTGAATTTCAGAGTGGAATTACAACTGGAGCTGCAACAAACTAGGATTGTAACATTTATTGAGTGCAGTTCCCCAAAGAACACTTTACCAAGTGTAACCATTGCTTCTACAAGGGTTGGTTATGAGTAGTTGGAAATTCTCAGTCTTATTTAATCTGAACTGCAAATAGAAAGGTCCCAAGTCATACAAACATATTTTCATTTCATTGTGTAAAACATGAGACAAAGTGCACCAAAACTTACACTGTTCACAATGAATCTCAAACTAGAACTATCATTCATATATTATTATAGACCTTGGGCAAGAAATATTCTAAATTGAATTTTTACTGCAAATTGTCAGAAACACAATAATCTTGTTTTCTTAATGAGTTTATAAAAAACCCATGCAGTGTACTGTAGGTTATTTTAGACATATAATAACATAAATTCAGATGAATCTTCTGTACCTTTATTGTTGTTCCTACAAAGCCCTAAATAAATTAGTATCTCCTATCTTGATTGATGTGAATGAAAGATAGGAGATAGACTTGTTATTTATTCTGTTTATGTATTTACTCATACTTGTCCATGAGTTTTAAAAACAGCTTAATTGTTGTTGTGATTGACATACAATTGATTGTACATATTTTAAGTATACAATTTTATAGGATTGACTTGTGTATATCTCCGTGCAGCCATTACTGAAAATGAGCCTATCATTTGTCAAAGTTTCCTCACGCATCTTTGTAATCTCTTCTCATTTCCTTCCAACAGGCAATGACTGATCTGCTTTCTACAGATCAGTCACTGCAGATCAGTCTGCACTTTCTACAATTTTATGTACATATAGTTATACAGTATACACTTTTTGGGGAGTCTGGCTTCTTTTATTCAGTATGACTATTTTGAGATTCATCCATGCTGTAGCATGTATCAATAGTTCATTATTTTTAAATTGCGGAGTGGTATTCTATGTGCATGAATTTACCATGATTGATTATCCATTCACCTGTTGATGAATGTTTCCATTGTTTCCAGTTTGGGCTATTACAAATGCAGCTGCCATGAACTTTGTGTATTAATCTTTGTGTGGATGTGTGCTTTCATTTCTCCTGGGAAGATTCCTAAAAGTGGAATAACTAGACAATATAGTAGGTATGTGTCTAATATTTCAAGAAACTGCCAAACTATTTTCCAAAATGGGTGTACGACTTGCTATATTGAGCTCCATCTGCTTCATGTCCTCGCCAATACTTGTTATGGTCCGTCTTTTGAAGTTTAGTCATGATAATAGGTGTATAGTGGTATCTTCTTTTGGTTTTAGTTTGCATTTCCATAATCATTAATAATGTTGATGTGTTTGCATCATTTCTCTTTTTTTCCTAGTAAGTCTGGCTAGAGGCCTATCAATTTAATTAATCTGTTAAAAGAACTAACTTTTGGTTTCATTGATTTTCTCTATTGTTTTTCTGTTTTATATGTCATTGATTTCTCTTTAGTCTTTATTATTTTAATTCTTCTGCTTACTTTGAATTTGCTCTTTCTCTAATTACTTAAGGTGGAAACTGAGATAACTGATACGAGATTTTTTTCTAATGCAGGTGTTTAGTACTATAAATCTCTTCCTAAGACTACATCATGTTCTTATTTTCATTCAGTTCAAAATATTTTCTAATTTCTCTTTTATTTTTTGACCTATTGGTTATATAGAAGTATATAATTTAGTTTCCAAATATTTGAGAAATTTTTTGGAGATTCTTTGGTTATTAATTTCCAATTTAATTCCATTGTGGTCATTGTATGACTTAAATTCTTTTAAATTTATTGTGATGTTTTAATGGCTTAGAATATGGTCTATCTTGGTAAATGTTCCATGTGTATGTGAAAAGGTTGTATATTCTGTTCCTGTTGGATAGAGTGTTTTATAAATATTTATTAGGTCAAGTTGTTTGATAGTGTTGTTCAAATCTCCTATATTCTTATTGATTTTCTGTCTCCTTGATGTATCAATTACTGAGAGAGGGGTATTAAAATCTCTGACAATAATTCTGGATTTGTTTATTTCTTCCTGCTATTCTGTCAGTTGTTTGCATCATGTTTCTGTAGCTCTCTTAATAGGTACATAAGTGTTCAGGCTTTTTTTTTTGTTATTGATGAATTAACTTTATTATCTCTATAAAATGACTTTTATTATCCCTAATAACATTCTTGGCTCTGTTATCTATTTTGTCTTGATATTAGTATAGTCAGTATAGCTGTATTTGGATTTGTGTTACCTGAATACTAGTATTTATAAGTTTTTCTATCTTTTCACTTTTAAACTATTTGTGTCTTTATGCTTAAAATAGTTTTCTTATAGGTAACATACAGGCATCTTGCTTTTCAACTGGGCTGTTTAGATCACATACTTTTGCTGTGATTATTCATGTAGGTTGAAATCTGTCATAGTCTTGTTTCTTTTCTACTTGTCTCATCTGTTGTTTCCTTTATGTTCCCTTTTTCTTTTTTTGATTAATTGAATATTGTTGATAATTTCATTTATCCTTTTTGACATAACAAAACTCCTTTTTCTTCATTGTAAGTGGTTTTTTTTATTATTGTAATGGTTTGTGGCATATGCCTTTCTTTTATTACAATTTGTGTTTCAGTGATATTGTGTCACTGCATATATATTATAAAAAGCCTTTGAGAGTATGGCTCTATTTCTCTTCCCCCATACTGTGTCTTTGTTTTCATACATTTTACTTTTACACACTTTTTAAATTTCACATTGTATTATTATTATTTTTGTTTAGCCAATCACCTTTTAAAATGATTTAAATACTACTTTATTATGAACACCATTTTATATAGATGAAATTATATTATGAACAGCATTTCTGTATTCTGTTGGAAACAAGTGGCTCTAAAGAGAATTTAAATTGTGATGTATTATGCACAACTGAATTTGTGGGTTGAGATTCATACCCCACCACCCAAAGAGGAGTTAACTATTGTGCAGTATTGTACTGAAGTTAACAAGGATGAATGTTTCCCTCAGATATTAAAGATAAAAAGTTTTAATGTGTCACATTGTTTTCTTATTGGGGGAAATGAAGAAGAGTAGTTTACTATTTTGAGCATGTTGTTCCAGTTCTTTTACCTAAAATATAATATTAATTACTTGAAACTTTAGCCATGGGTTTTATTGCCTACAATCTCTCACTTGTGTATATTCACATTGCTTGTTTTCTTGCAAAATATTCTTGTTTTTTTTTGTTTTCCTGGAAATGTTAACTCATTGCAGGTGTGTTTTAATGTGGCTCTGTGTCCATGTAACTTTTAACATATTGATGTACTTTATGAATATAGCTCACACTATCACAAATCAGACTTTGAGTTTTGCTACTAATATGAACCTGCTACCTATAAGATGCCTTTTAAAATTAATGTGACCATGAAGAAATGTGTTCTTACAGAAGATTTTTTTTTTTTA